ACTCACGGACCGTGAGATCATGACCTGAGCCGAAGTCGGACACCACCGACTGAGCCACCCAGGTGCCCCTTTAGCCAGCTATTTCTAACTATTTCTAACTACACCTACGGTGCATCCTTTATGGTGACCGAAATCAGAGCAGAGCTCCCCGGCCAGCATGTCTGGGTGTCTTACTTCCTCAGCCTGCAGGTCGGTCGGGACCTGGTCACCTTGCCTGTGAGCAGCCCCTCCCATCGCCCCCGTGGGCTGAACCAACGTGGTCCCTTCCTCCGTGGTTAAGGGAACTGAGGCGGAGGGTGTAGTTTGGTAGGGATGCCACGGCAGCGTCTGGAGCGTTCTGTGATCTGCCCGGCCGGCTCCCCAGTGATTTGAGAAGATTGGGAATTGGGTGGCTCAAGACTTATTTTCAACATATCAGAAAAGATGTGGCCAGTAGGTGGGTTTGGGAACGTCTGCAGTTGGATTACTCAGAGTTGTCAGCAGTGTGCTAGAGAGGCAGCATCGTGCTTTTTTTTTTTTTTTTTCCAACGTTTATTTATTTTTTGGGACACAGAGAGACAGAGCATGAATGGGGGAGGGGCAGAGAGAGAGGGAGACACAGAATCGGAAACAGGCTCCAGGCTCTGAGCCATCAGCCCAGAGCCTGACGCGGGGCTCGAACTCACGGACCGTGAGATCGTGACCTGGCTGAAGTCGGACGCTCAACCGACTGCGCCACCCAGGCGCCCCGCATCGTGCTTTTTTACGTGGCTCTCTCCTGGGGGGAAAGCGTCCCCCAGACTAGAAGCAATGAGGTTTCATGAGATAATCAAGTCACGGCTGATATTTGCAGATGTGGTGATGAATGTCTCACAGTTCCTGGTTGAATTCCCGCCTGAAGTGGAAGTTTTGCCTGTGTGTAATTAAGTCATCCTTTTTCGGTGGCCCCCTCCGAGGTCCCTCCCTGAGTCCTGACGACAAGCTGCAGGCGTGCCGGGGCCCTGAGCTTGCCGGGCTGGGAAGCAGCTGACTCTGCATGGGGCACAGGGTCTGTCCCTGCGAGCAGGCACCGTGCAACGCCAGGAGCTCCTTGGACTGTGCGTGCACGAGGGGCAGTGCGTGTGTGTGCACGTGCGTGAGGGCGGTGCGTGAAACTGTTTGGAGTTGATTTCAGAATGCAGGCGTCCATGTGCTCTGGGCAGACTAGCAGGTATATTTATGATCCTGGCCTACACTTTGAGGGAAGGATACTGGACTCACTGTTTCTAACGAACCCTGACAGCCCCTAGTCAGCAGCGTCATGGAAATGAAAGGTGGCTGGAGCTTGACCGTGGGGTGTGAAAGCACCCAGCTCAGCGGTCGCAGGAGGATCCTGACCCCCCAGTACCTCCCGTTTCAGAGACCAGCTGAGATTGTGTAGTGGCCTGCAGGGCCCTTGGTGATGTGGCCTGGCCCCTGCGGCCCATGTGACCGCATTTCCAGCACCCCGCACCCCCTCCGCCCAGGCACACTGGAGCTCACTGTCCCTGTCGTAGGTCACCTGCATTCTATAACCATAGGGCCTTTGCTTGTATCATTCTCTTTGCCCGGATGCTCTTCTCTAAGATGGCATTTCTTCATTTGCTGAGCTGCTCCGCTTAAGTGGCACCTTCACAGAGAAGATGGGCTTCCACCACCAGTGTATATGCAGCCCCCACACACCCCTTTCCTCTGTCCTTTGCTCTGTTACTCTGAGCCTGTGTCTGTACCTGGCATGTTGCAGAGCCACGTGCTTAACGCCGTCTCCCCCAGTATTCGCTGCTATACTCTGGGCCCCGACACTTGCGGGATAGATGGATGAACTGAATAATTTCCCTCCATAGCAGAGTAGTATGCAAGATTCTCCTTTAGCCGCCCCGTCCTGCTCCAACCTTCTCTTCCCATTTCTCTGTCCCCAGGGGTTCTGCTAAGCTGTGCCTTTCTGGACGGCATGGCACTCCCCTCCAGGATTCAGCTCGGTGCCTTTTTCTTTCTGTCCTCCTAATTTATCCCCTGAATTCCCAAATCCTCTGTAGCACTTTTGGACATTTGTCCGTGCTAACCCCTGTTGCGTGTCCTGGGGATGCCACTCGTGATTTGGAGGTTCCTGCAGAGCAGAATGATGCACCGTAGAAGGCGTGTGCGTTGCCGCGAGGCCGCAGCTGTAGGTAGTGCCCAGGACAAGGCCTGCGGGTACACCTTAGGTGCTTAATAAATCACTCACTAACACGGTTCTCTTTTCTCTTTTTGTTGGACATCCTCAGGATGGTTTAGCATTGGTTATAACATTTGGTTCTTATTTACTCGATTGTAGACATTTGTTTTAAGTTTGCAGTATATGATAAACTTTCATTTCTAAATAAGGAATTGGGTGATTAATTAAAAAATTTTTTTGTATTTATTTTTGAGAGAGAGAGACAGACAGAGTGTGAGCTAGGGAGGGGCAGAGAGAGAGGGAGACAGAATCCGAAGCAGGCTCCAGGCCCTGAGCTGTCAGCATAGAGCCTGATGTGGGGCTCGATCTAACGAACCGTGAGATCATGACCTGAGCCGAAGTCAGACACTTAATGGACTGAGCTCTCCAGGTGCCTCCTTTTAAAAATATTTTTTTTAATGTTTATTTATTTTTGAGAGAGAGTATGAGCTGGGGAGGAGCAGAGAGAGAGAGGGAGACACAGGATCTGAAGCAAGAGTTCTGTGATTTAAAAAGGTAAAAAGTAGGGCACCTGCGTGGCTCACTTGGTTGAGCATTTGGCTCTTGATTTGGGGTCAGATCATGTTCCCAGGGCTGTGAGATCGAGCCCCATGTCAGGTTCCATGCTGAGCGTGGAGCCTGCTAAAATTCTCTCTCTCTCTCAAATTATAAATAAATAAATAAAGGGAAAAGTAAAGGGAAGAAAAGGAAAAAATCCCAAGCAAGATAGAGAGTGTAGGTAAAAAATAAGTAAATAAAAATCCATGCTCCAGAATTAAGAGGTAACTACTGTTATGTCTTGTCTGATTCTTTCTATATCACTCTTTCTTAATGTATGCTTTGAGATATCAGAAGGGTAGATTTGTCAAGAAACCTGCTGTCCTCATGGGATGAAGTCCTAAGTATTGCTGATCAGCTCAAACACCTGGAAGTTCTCAATCTCAGGTATGAACCCTTGGACGTCCATTTGTCACCTGGTATAAAACTCCTGATCTCTCCTTGTTCCCTCACGACATCGCTGTGGGAAGGAGGGGGGAGACAGCTTACTGGAATTTAAGACTTTACTTACTCTAACTTTTTCTTTGACTTAGTATTTAATCCTTGGTTATTGTAGTTTTTCAAATGGTCACACGAGGTGACTCACTATAGGGGTGTGTTTTACTTACTTTTAGTCTCTGTGCCCAATGTGGGGCTCCAACTCCCGATCCCGAAATCAAGAGTCAACGCTTTATTGACCGAGCCAGCCAGGTATCCCTTTTCTGGGGTGGGGGGGGTGGAATGTGTTTTCCTTTGATTGGCTGGCGTGGGTTGGCCTATTGAGCAAGATCTCCATATTTTTCGTGAGCCTAACCATGAAGGATGGGCCATCTGGAGGAGTTGGTATTTCACTGAAGAATTGGAGAGGTGCTATGAACAGTGCTTGTTGGGGGCACCCTGGCTCACTCAGTCATTGGAGCGTGCAACTCTTGATCTTGGGGTCATGAGTGCGAGTCCCACGCTGGGTGTAGAGATTACTTAATAAAATCTTTAAAAAAAAAAACAGGTGTGGGGCGCCTGGGTGGCTCAGTCGGTTAAGCGTCCGACTTCAGCCAGGTCACGATCTCGCGGTCCGTGAGTTCGAGCCCCGCGTCAGGCTCTGGGCTGATGGCTCAGAGCCTGGAGCCTGTTTCCGATTCTGTGTCTCCCTCTCTCTCTGCCCCTCCCCCGTTCATGCTCTGTCTCTCTCTGTCCCAAAAATAAATAAACGTTGAAAAAAAAAAAATTAAAAAAAAAAAAAGTTTAAAAAAAAAAAAAAAAAGGTGCTTCTCCATTCTGAAGTTTCTAGCATTTAATTGCTTTAGAAGTGAATAATTTCACTGGACTGCTGTTTCATTCATTTCTGATAAGGATTTTCCATCAAGATACGTGTTTCACTAATGCCATAATTTTCCAGGCCTTTTCAAATTCTTGCTTAGTTTCAATCTCTGAACCTTATTTTCCAAGGCCTCAGCCAGGCATCCCCTTTCATACTCGAGCCAGCTTCACACAGATAGGTGGGTTGTGCCTGGTTCAGGCAGATTCAGTTATAGTAGATGGTGAGGCCTAAATTAATTGTGCTTCAAATAGAGCAAAGGGTGTAAGTTGACCCACAGTGTCTCCTCTTCTGGAAATAAGGGCTAACATGTTTTAATGGTATCTTCGTTCAAAAAGATTGTCAGGCTGGGGCGCCTGGGTGGCGCAGTCGGTTAAGCGTCCGA